AGAATATCTCCCCAGCACAATTGAATACAACTGGAATGAACATATAAAGAAGGCTCCACAGCAAAACCGTTGTGTCTCTTTTCTTTTCCTTTCAGCGTGAAATAAACCCTTACCTGTTCCCTGAATTAATACATGCTTGTTACTTTATGGAATGGGCCAACCTAAAGGTGGAAGTTGAGTGGAGGGAAATTTATCAAAAGTAAATAACTTCCTATGGTGAAACAGCTAAATCAAATTCGGTTTCTTATATCCTACCATCTATTAAGAGATCTGTGCATCATGAAACCCTCATCAATTCCTCTTTCATTTAATGTATATTTTTTGGAAAATGTTTACATATTCATGCGCTGGACATACTATATGATCAACAGAATTGGGAATAAAATTAAACTGAGGTGCACGACAGGGCAGTGGTTAGCACTGCTGCCTTGCAACACTGGGGCTCTTGGTTCCATTCCTAGGGTGCTGGGGAGTTTATATGTTCTCCAATGTTTGTGTGGGTTTCCATTGGGTGCTCCGGGTTCCCCTCACAGTCTCCCGGCTGAATTGACTACTACCAGCATGATTAGATAGGTAGTCAAAAATGCCTCCTCTCTTTTTAAAACATTGCATAAATTGGAATGATTATATTGTGATCCCTACAGTACAATATCTATGCTAGAAAAAGACTTCACCTCTCAGTCAGATTACGCTACAGTAAGATTAAGTTACAACCATCCCCTGCTCTCCGTTTCCTATTTGAAGACGTGTAGTGCAATGTAGTGAGATCTGTCTATACAGAGGTCATCACTCATAATTTATTTATATAATGTTATAAACAAATGGTAATAATTTTACATTTTAATTTTGTTTTTGTCAAATACATTTTATGTCTGTCTTCATTCTCCACTCAAATTTAAAAACGTACAAATAAATTATTTCAATAATAATATTTCACTGTGAATGTACAGTATGATTTGTAAAATGCTGGACTGGTGGGTAATGCTACTGTGTATGATTAATATCTGTGCCTCTGTAACCAAAACCATCAATCGTTTGTAATAAATGTACTATATACAATATAAAACATACTGTAGTCCACAGAATAGGACACAAGCTGCAAACATTACTGAAACTAGGCAATATTGCACCAGGTACAATTACATTCTTTCTCAATGTTATAATTAGAATGTTTTAAAGCTTCAGCACAAGCCTTCTTAACAGTGAATAGTGTTTTTATTGTCTTATAATAAACCATTATGGACAAGTAAAGAAATTCCAGGCATGAACGAAATCCTCACAAACTGACTGACCTTGGGATGTGCTATGCATGACATCATCATTAAACTAGGAAGTGCCCAGTTGTTAATGCCCAGCCATTCTTTATACCCAGACACTTTTAATAATTGACCCAGGCCTCCAATGCATGATACTGAGAAGAGACACATCCTTATGCTAGCCTTGTCTCAGATATACAGATTTATGGATCATAAATACCAAGAATCTTGCTATATTCATTATGGCTGCATAATGACAAAGCAGCATTAAAACAACATACAGGTATATTAATGTAGCAGTTATAAACTGTTTTTTTCACAAATTCTTTTTAAACTATATTAAATGTTGAATTCCGAATTCCCATTATGAGATACCTTATCCTGTTTAAAATTCAATAAAATCAGAATTTGGAGCAAGCCATGTATTCATCATAAACGGCTCACTGCTCTCATTTATCATAGGACAGATATAAAAAAGGAGAACAGACAAGACAATAAATAGAAAGACTTAACTTTTTTATCAGCAAAAATGATCAGAAGTGAACAGACAGACAAATATGTCCTCATACCAAAAAATAAGGTTCGTTAGTTCTGATGTTTTTAAATTCATTCTAATTTCCAATATCTGAATAGTAAAAATATGCATGCAACTCTTCTTGCACTGCTGTCTTGGACAAATTAGCACCAAATAGTCCCAGAAGATAAAAATGGTTTGACACTAGAGCCAGCCTGGCACCATGCAGACATACAGCACATCATTTCATGGTCTGTCAGCTTTTCTCTCTTTTGCAACTAAACAGTAGAAATGTGTCCAAGCACAAAAATATGTATATTTAATTTTACTTTCCCTCCATCCATTTTCTAATCACTTTATCCAATTCATGGTCATAGGGTTGCCAAAGCCTATCCCAAGCAAACAGAGACACAGGGCAGGATGCACCTAGATAGGATGCCAGTCCATCGCAGGGACAATTTTCACAGAAGCCAATTAATCCATCATTGTGCCTTTGGACTGTGAGAGGAAACCAGAACACCCAGAGGAAATCCACACACATGTGAGGAGAACATACAAACTCTAGGCAGACAGCACTCCAGGAGTTAAACACAGGTTCCCAGCTCTGTGAGGTAGCAATAATAACTACTGGGACACTAGCCCACCCTAAGTTTGCATAAAAAAAAATATTATAGAGATGCATATATACACTGTGTCACATTTAATGTCTTGTCATCTGAATATTTCATAGGCCTTATAAACAATCCGCTTTAACACAAACCAAGTGAAACTCAGCCTAATACTTTTGCCACATGCTTATCTCCATGAGGTGTATAAGCCCAGAAAGCAGAGTAACCCATTTTCCTATAATTGTATAACGCACAAAGGAAAAAAAGATCATACTATTTTATTGATTTAATTTTTTATAAAAATGTCAAAGGTTTTATTCTGAATTACATATCTTGTGCTTACCTTATACTGTATTTGCAACCATTAGCAAGAGAACCTGGAATAACTAAAGCATGGCATTGAGCCATTGTTTAGGTTCATGTGTCATATGGGGCCTTAATGGAATCTAAAGTACAGTATCATCTAGATACTCTGATAGATTTCAATTATAGACATACAGTATTTGTCAAATACCTTTGGCTAGTTCTCTAAGACACTTTCTGTAATAACATTATTGAAACAAATCAACACATACACTGTTCAATTAGATGTCTGTAGATGTCCAAATGGAAATTAGCCAGATAAGGAATCTTTTCATTTATGTACTGTATTGATGGTGGTATTATGTAAATGATAAATAACTGTATGTGAGACTGATAAAAAATCCAGTTTCCCAACCTATTTTCAAATTGTTCATACACACTTTAAGTTAATTACATTTTTTACATTTAAGTCACACCATTAGGTAGAAATCTAGTTAGGTTCATTCTATTTTTCTGTTAAAATAGATGTGCTTTAAAACCAGTTGAAGATTCACATTCACTTATATGCTATCAAAATATTAAAATCTATTTAGTTCATAATAAAGATACCTCTTGAATAAATAAGACTTTATTGATCCGGAAGGGAAATTGAGGTGTTACAGCAGCCCAGCCCAAGACGAGCAAAAACAGACGAAAAATTTAAATATGTACAGTAATACAAAATAAATATAAAATAAATACATAGTTAGGTGTGTGCAAAATATGCTCCAAGTCACTGTAAAAATATGTATATATGTGCAAAATGTGCATAGGTATATACAGATTGAGTGTCCAAAAAGTACAATAGTGCAACATGCTGTCCATAGATGAGCAGATCAAGGGCTAGCAGTCCTAGCCTAGGGCCTGACAGCCGTCGGGAGGAAGTACCTGCGGAAATGTTCCCTTGAACACTGTAGCTGTAACGAACAGTTCTTTCCAGACCCTATGCGGACGACACAGTCCGACGGAGTGGGGAAACACTGGGGAAACGTCATGCAGGAATACGGTGCAGAAGACGGGGGGCGTGTCCAAGGTGCGCTGGTGTACGAGGGAGGTGTGGCCGAGGCGAACAATCCGAGAGTAGTCCTTAGGGAATATCCAAAACCAGAAGATCCATCAGAACAAGATAAAAACCACGAAGGCCGGGTCGGAACCGGCGGACGGGGAACGGGAACAGAACTTAAAACCTTAACGGGACCAGGCGCTTCCAGGTCCCGGACTCGCACGATATGGAAATCAGATGCAGAGCCCGGAAGAGCGTCAGCGCCTGGCTTTTAAGGTGGGCTGAGAATAGGGAACAGGTGCAGAGAATAAAGTCTTAGTGAAAGGGCTGGAGCACCCTTAAGGAGGGGGGACTATAATCGTGACAGTAGCTGGGAGCAGTCTGTTGCTAAAAGTGCTCCACCGCCTAATAACAGATTTTGTCACAAATATTAATTTGCTATTTTGTTTTTCTAGAACTCCATAATTATATGTGAACTAAGTCTATGCTTGCACATATTGCACATCTATCTCTTTATATTATGTATTGATAATACATAAATACTGTAACTTGTCCTGTGGGTATACTCAAAATGTTCTATTTGTTCAGCTGAATGAATGGCTAAACTTTTAAATTGCAATTTTTAAATTAAACTGCTTATGTGCACATAAAAGAAAATAGGCTTGCTTTTGTTTTAATACAGTATGTTGGCAAAACTCATTATATAGCCAAATGAGTCAGACTCAGCATGGTAACTGCTCTGGAGACCAAGCTGGGGTATGCGAAAAGATAATTCCTAATGCAAGAAATTGTAAAGGGTTAATAAAGTGATGATATGTTAAATATATTGGATATGAAACCATTTGGATAATCAATTACACTATCTATTCCATAGAGTACTGCGCAGCACGATAAATGATATCACAGAACAGATGTCCTTATTATTAGTTGTGGTTTTCAAATTCCTTGCTTTGGATTTCTCGCGTCTGGAATCCAATTTAATGAACACACGACGGCGAATCTGCGTCTGGAGTATCCCGGAAACTCCAGACCAGGAGTAACCAGCTCGGTCCTCAACGTCAGGAATCGAGCACGTTTTCTACGTTTTCTTCCTTATATTATATACAGCTCTATACTAGTAAGAAATGTTTCATTGGCCCAATTAAGCTGAACGGGAGCATTTTATCCTTTCTCTATAGCATTAAGCTCTTGATAATTTATGGATTCTGGACCCACAGGTCTAATATTGTGGAACCCTGCACTGGACACACACCGACGACTCTAACTAGTGGCTGCTGATTTTCAAGCATAGCTTTGACAAAAACGTAAAATAAATAGTACTGTTAGAGCCCTTTTTATCACTTTAATTTTCTTTCCCATAAGCCAGGCTGTCGTCTTGTGGTTTGTAACAGGTATCGCTTTTGCGCAGGCAGAGCGGTCGACTGTCATCGAGCTGTTGTTCTCGACAGGCTTCTCACTGTGGATCTCGCCTCCCTCTCCATCCCTCTCTCTCTCATTCCCCGTCTCCCTTTCCAAGAGTGAAGAAGAGAGGAGAGGGCAGCTTGCTCACACACTATTATGCTTTACTCATCGCGCGGTGAAAGTCATGAATGCAAGTTGGATCTGAAGACCTGTTTTTGAAGGAGCAACAACTAGCCAAATGCTGGGCTTGAAAAGTATCGCTGGTCGTTTCTGATTAATTTCTGGCTGTATTGGCCTGCATCGAAAACCATCATGGATCTTTCATTTATGGCTGCTCAGGTAGGGCACTGCCATTTTTTCACTTTTGTGTGCTTAGTTGCTGTGATCCGTGCTGCTTGACTGTGACTAGTGTGGCGTCAGTGAACTTTTGGCGTTATTAAGGGTGTGGCAGTGAATAAAAAGTTATTTCAAAACCCGGTAACAGATTTAGTTCACGAAACAAAATCTGACATCTTGCTTCTTATTATCACGAAATTAATGTTTCTGTTACGTATTTTCCAGCATGCATGCCGTGCTATTTTTAGGAACTAGGTGGAAAATTAGTACGAAGTACGAAGGTCTACGTTATTTGCTATTTCTTTACAATATGGTACATTACAGCGCCAAAACATATAGCCTTGCGTGATAAATATTATATCCCATCTCAGCCCTTTAAAGATTGGTGTTTTTTTGTTTTGTTCTATTGACGTCTTCATAACATCGAAGAAAATCGTCAATATATCTTAAGGGTGACTTAAAATTACTTACCGTTCCAGTTTGTACAGTATACAGTATATAAAGCGTGTTATTAGTCCCCTTTGTCATTTGTCCCTTTTTTCTCTTTGAAAAAGGGCCGTGGTAGTCTCATGTTATTGTAGTTTGTAGGTGGTGTTTTGCGTCGCTCTAGTGGGCAGTAGTGTTCTACTAATCCGACGTCAGGACACGGACCTTCACTCGCAGAATAGCTTGAAGCTAAAGGTACTGTAACCATGACAGCGATCCCTGAAGTCGAAGTGTCTGAAGTCTTCGGATCAGCATCTGGAATTCCAGGATCCTGGACGTTGTTAAAAGAGATACCCTCTATATTGTACTAGGGTGTATTAGAATACAATTATATTTATTAGCGATTATTATAGCCTCATGCAGTAGGTTGGAAAGATAACTGAACAGTCGAAATTAAGGTTGTGCGTAGTTTAATGTTGCTAGGTGACCTGTTTATCTGTAGATTTTGCTATTTACTTGTCATTCGATTATTATAATTAATTATTATAAGAATATTGGATGTTTTGGTACTAATGCGCTTCAAGAACTAAAATTACCTAAAGTACACTGAAGTGTTTGTAGAACGATATACAGGTGGAGAGAGAACTGTCAATCTACAGTCTAGCTCGTTTCCTTTCTGTCGTTGATAAAAACGAATAGCGAGATTGTACAGTAAGTACTACCGTATTGATATAGCATACTTAACGCAAAACTAATCCCTTTTATTGTAACAGTATTCCGATTTACCCACGATTAATATATATATACAGTGCGTTACTTGATATTGTGATGAGTGTTTAATTTTTAAAATGTGTTATCAAACTTTTAAGATTATTGGCATTGATTATTTTAGGAAAAGTCCCTTATTTAATTAAATGTTCTTTTCAGCAGTTATAGATTTGTTTCTATTAGGGATCAATATATTTTACATATTTGTTTTCTCTATTATGTGTATTTGTAATTTTGTGAAATTGCAAAAAATAATTAAAATGTTACCCTTTAATCTTTTGTGTAATGAGGTTTCTAATTAACAAAACAAAACGAAAATAGTTTTAAATGCATTCAGTTAATTTGATAGTAAATTTAGTTTGCTGATGAATAAATACAATTATGAAATGTACTTGCTTTCATAAAGTTTTTTAAACAGTTATTTTTAAATTTATCTTCTGCCTTTAATGCATAACTGTCCAGTTCTGCAGCTGGACAGTGTTTGGTCCAGTTGTCATTGCAGCCTAGCTTTCACCTGCTTAACTATACCAGTCACTGGTCCAGTTGTTTTAGATAAATATGATATTTCACCACTGTATGACACATACTGTATGAAATGAATGCTACTGGAACCCAAGGACAGTGAAGTCTGCATGTAAAATGCACCTAATTGCACATAAGGTAAAAAGGTACTTTGTAGCACCAGTCAACAGATATATTGTATTACAGTATATCAATTATTCTAATGAATAAAGATTGGAGCTGTTGGGAGAAAAAAAAGTATTTTTAATGCACAGCATTAATCTGCAGTATAGTTTTTCACTACGTCATTCTCAGTTTAGGATTTTTATACAGTGTCAGATAAATCCCCTTTACTTATAGACAGAGGTAGAATATATTTAGGAATCCATCTGTTTCCTTGGATGGCTGGGGCTGCAGAAGACAATTGCAATTAAATTACCCTAAATTATTACAGTGCTGCTCCAAGGGGAAATGGAGATGAGCAGCATCACCTGAATTCTGTATTAAATGTTGCTGCTGTCCCTCTGAATTTTTTCTGTCATAAATCTTTAAGGGTGTGTTCCGAAGCTAGTGTGGAAGCTCCCAGACAGGACATTCTTCTGTGCCTTGTGTATTCATTAGATTAAGTAATATGTAACTGACATTTGGGGTATTGTGTTTGTATATCTATTTAAATAATTGTCTTTTTAGACTTAAACATACTGTTTTTTTTCTTGACACATTCCCCTTTGTTGGTTATTCGTTAAGTGGTGTGAAGTATAAGATAGAAGTGTGGTATCATGTACACTAGTAGTAGACAATGTACAACAGTAATTACGTGAGGCAAAATACATGCTTCTAATGCCATCAGACGTCAGATACTGTATAAATGTGTCTTCCAACAGAGTGTAATAAACATGACACATGAAAGGAACCCATTCAACCCATATGTATTTTTTCACATAAATATCTTGTCTAGCTGTTTCTTGAAGGAAACCACCTTCAAGCATTAACAACATTGCTGGGCAGCTTTTTTTCTGTACTCCCACAGCTCTTTGTATGAAGAAGTGCCCCTTATCTCAGTGTGAAATATACATTCTAATGGTTTCCACTTCTTTCCTCTGGGTTTTATTTCACTGTGAATGACCAGCACCTTTGATTACTTAAGTCAGGTCAATTTGTAATCTTCTCTACAAGGAAGTTCAAGTATAAAAATATTCCGTTGTTTAATCTTGTAACTGTAGAATCTTCTTTTGAGCCTGTAAGTTATCTGGTTTCTTTTCTTTCTGGACCAGCAATAAGCTTCTAGTATCTTGGAAACTAAAATTTTGCACAGTATTCTAAATGAGCTGTTACTGGTACTGTACATTGTACAATTTTAATATAGAATTCTACACTTTTAATTTTATATTGTAATATTCTCTTTACATTTGTATTGCTTCCCCACATTGAAAGTTTAAAATGATTTCCATGTAGACTTTAAAATCCTCATGCTCACCTATGAGGCTCTGCATGGCTTCGCACCTCAGTACCTGTCTGAACTATTATCGCCGTACTCCCCACCTCGCAACCTTCGCTCTTCTAATTCTGCTCTCCTTACTGTCCCCCAAGCCCGTCTACATTGTATGGGTGACAGGGCCTTCTCCTGTTATGCCCCCAAGCTCTGGAACTCTCTCCCCAAGGATATCAGAGAGTCACCTTCTCTAAACTCCTTCAAATCCAGACTCAAAACCCTCTTCTTCAGAAAAGCCATTACTTAACTGGTTCCATTCTTCACCCCTCTGCTTTTCTTAGTACCACCATCCATGGTCTCCTCTGTATATTGTAATTGTGTTTTATCTTGTGTATTCTTTTTATTTATTGTTGTCATCCTGTAAAGCGCTTTGAGAAGCCACCTTTAAAGGCGCTATTAAAAATATAGTTTATTATTATATTTGTCTACATAAACACTTTAGTGTTTTGATGGTTTGAATTTAATGAAACTCAGGAAGTACCTTACTGCTGTACAGAATCAATTTGAAATATATCAGGTGGGTAGCTGCATCAGCATGTTTAGTCTGCAAAGGAACAAGTAATAGGTTTATTCCATGCTGAAAAGAGAAGAGAAAAAACACAACGTTTAGGCTGTGAAGCCTTCTTCAGGTGTGAGAAAGACAGGGCAGACAGCAAAGATTAAATAGCACAAAAGAACAAAAGCCAAAGTGCAGAAAGGTGAAGAAAGGTGTGAAGTAAAAACCTGCATGAGAATAGAGAAGATTACACAAAAAGTCGGTCATTGAGAGAAGGGAGATGGTGTTAACCTAGTTTCAGGATGAGTGTTGTTTTTATTGTTTTTCTGCTGTGGAAGTTGAGAAACCCTTCTTTGAGAACAGGGACAGAGAGATCAGTGTGATCATGGCCGTCTGAGGTGAAATGAGAAAGTATGGGCTTGGAGAAATAGTTTCATAGTTTCTCATTTCACCTGAGACGACCATGATCACACTGATCTCTCTGTTACTGCTCTCAAAAAATGGTCTAGCCCTGTCAGTGGGATAATGAGCTCCAATTCAGTGTTCAAGTCCACATCTGTTCCTTAAGGAGAGGAGACAAAGAGACATCAAAGTGATGGCACTTCATCACTGGAGGTGTCGTGATGAGTCCAATTTATTTGTGTTAACAATCTCATCCAGTCTGCCAGTGTCCAATCTCCACAGTTTTTCTAAGAAACTGGCTCAAAGCATACCATCGCATCGATGTCTAAGCATAATTATAACCTTGCTAATACACCACCTAAGTCAGTATCATAAATAGCCTCTTCAAGCTCTGTATTCTCCATGTTATATTTGTATAGTAGTTTGTTTTTGCTGCATGCATGTGTATCAATGTGGGAGGAGCTGCGGCGAACACCGATGAAAGTCGACGCCCCTTCTGAGGGGGAAGAGGCACTGGTGTGAGGTTAGCAAAAAAAAATCAAAAAACCCCCCAAAAAAGAAAAAAAAATGAAAAGGAAAAAGAAAAATGCACAGCTTTAAACAGCGGCTTCCAGGCTGGACTGTCTCTATTCAGTGAGGTCCAGCCTGGGAAAAAAATAACCTAATAGGACAGTAGTATCCAGTCTGGACTATCCTTATTTAGGGGGATTCAGACTGCAAGAAAAGGAGAAAGAGACCAAAACAAAAACAGAACTCAACCTGTCCCAGTGGAGATACACGGCAGGACAAGAGAAAAGAAAAGAAAATGAAAAGAAAATGAAGAAAAAAGATTACCTTAGGCTTGGTCACAATCCCCTCTGGGACTGTCATGGGAAGGTTCTCCCCTTGCGGGGTCTGTTCGTCCCACTGGGAGGTGCT